TTGCCGAGAGGGTCCTGAGGGTGCCAGCCGTACGTGTGGTGTGGCCGGCCCGTGTCCTGGAGGCCCGTGCCACGTCCGCACACGACGGCAATGGACAGCCTCACCCGGGAGGGCAGGCCAGGCAGGGAGCAGAGGCTCTGCCCTCACTGAACACGTGGTGAGGCTCGGAGTGGCTCTGTGCCTCAGTTTCCCCAGTTCTGCAGCCACGAGATTGCACTCACAATCCCTGCACTCTGCGGACTCCGATGCCCTTGGTCGTGTCTGGACCTTCAAGGACACTGGCGTCCACGACGTCATATCACTCCTCACCCCTGGGTCAGCCCCTACCCCCCAGCAGGGGCTCCAGTCACCCCCACGACGCAATACCTGTTTGGGCCACCCCCTGCCCGGTGCCTGCCGGGGAGAGCAGGGGGGGCTCTGGACGGGGGCCCTGTGTCCACTCCCTCCCAGCCTGGCTCTGCGCTGTCCCCTGGCTCCCGCCCTGTGTTCTGAGCCCCGCCCCCCCCCCCCCCCCCGCCACCGCCCCTACACGTGGCCCCAGCCCGAAGGGCAGGGGGCTTGCTGTCTGCGGGATCCAGTCTGCATCTCAGTGTCTCTACAACGGTGAACTAACATTTCCTGAAGATGAATTTATGAGGTTCTTGAAGGTCTGTAACTCTAGTTACCAAATTCTTTCCTCCCTCCCGCGCTTCTGCAGCTGGCGATTTCCCTTCCTCGGGGAAAACGCTCCTCCTCCCCGCCCCCCCCACCCCCCAGCTGTGCACGTGAGGCCCCACACCTGCCGCCAGAGGACACAGTCCGGCCGCAGTGGCCACAGTGACAAGTGAGGGGCCCGGGGTCAGGCGCAGAGCTCCCCCTGCAGCCCCGGGAGGCAGGAGGCCCCACTTTCCAGCCGCACGTGAGGCCATGAAGCCTGAGGAGGGGCATCTGAGACCCCCAGCCGATGGGTCCCAGGTCCTCCGCTCAGGATGTGGCCACCGTCCTGCGCTGTGAGCCCTGGTGTGGCTGCCGGGCACACCCACCGCACAGACCACAGTGTCACTGAGTGTGTTCGGTGTCCCTGGGCTCAGGCTGGCTCTTCTAGAAGCAATTTTCCAAGTAATGTGGGTGCTGACTGTGACACACAATTACTTGCTGGAGAGATGTGGAAGCCCCCACCCCGGCCCCCTCCCTCTCTTGCAGGAATCTCCTACCGCACCTGGGATCTGCCAGTCCTGTCCAGAAGCTTCCGCCCACTCTGTGCACACCCTGAGCACGCTGGACCTGCAGCCACCCTCCCGCCAGGCTCCAGGAGGTGGCTGTGCCCGTCTCAGCCCGTCAACATCGGCTTCCTGGGCTGTGGGTGCAGCCAGCACGTGTCCACGAGCCCAGCAGGCAGCGCGGTGACTGCCAGAGACACAGACCCTGCAGCCCCCTCCCCAGATCGCCTCCAAGGACACAGGCAGCTTCGCCCAGACTTCTAATCGCTCCGTGACAAGGTTGGAAATTTGAGAGTGAAAGTCCTTGGCCACAGAGATCCCAGGGCATCCTTGGCCGGGGCTTACAGCGGACCCGGTGTCTCCGCAGCCGGCAGGACAACAGGCCCTTGGGCGCCTCAACCACACGGGCTCCCTCCACCCTTCGCCGGGCCCGGATGCGAGTTGGTCACTCGGACTTTCTGAAGCAAGTATCTACACGGCAGTGCCCGGACGGCCACCCGAATGTAGGTTTTCCTCTGGAACGCCTGCTTTGGCCACGAGGAAACGTCGGCTGAAGCCGGATGAGAATCCTTCCGCTTGCGGGATTGGCCCGTGTGCTTAGAACATGCCCGTGGTCGTGGCTCAGGGAGGCACGTGTCGGTGTGAGCATGCCGCGTGTGCGTGTGCCAGCCTGCGTGGCACCAGCAAGGAAGGGCGGCCGTGTGACTTTTCTGTGTGTATGAAAGTTGAGGCGAAGGGCTCGGCTCGGCAAGGGGAGCCCGAGGAGGCCCCCCGGGGGGGGGGGTGGCCTGACATCGGAGCACCAAGCACCTGCCTCGGGGTGTGCTACCAACCTTCTCACCAGGCAGCGGGGTGCCTCCCGTGACACAGAGTTCAAGGCTGTGTGGACATCTGCCGGTGTGGCCGTCCCTCCCGGGGCCTCTCCCTGCCCTGATAGCGGGAGGATCGAGGGTCCAAGATGGGGCGCAAACAGGGAGTCAGGGACGCCCGCCCCTCCTCCTGCCGTGTGAGTCCCGGCTCCACGGGTCCCTTCAGCACAACGCAAAATCGGTGCAGACTTGGATTTGCCACCGAAGAATTTTAGGAATTTCCTCCCGTCTGAGAAGAAAACTCCCTCCATGTCACTACTGCGGGGGCGTGGAAGGCCTCTGTGCCCCTGGGGGTGCGCTTTGAGCCTCTGGCTGCACAGCGTAAGGTCCAGAGCACCAGGGCGTCCGGGCTGGGCCGGGGGCCTGGTGGCGGCAGAGCCCACACCCGCTCCCTCCGCGCTCGCCCTTCCCGGGCTCAGGTCCTCCTGTCTTCCCGGCAGTCCCAGTTCTGCGTCACCGGCCCCAGAAACCTCACTGCTGGCCACGGGCGGCGGTCCACGGCGGCCCGGTCTCCGCTGCTCCCGGTGGCTATAGTTGGGAAATAGTGCCGCTTGGACACCCTTTCTTTCACTTTGTAAACTAATATCCAATTTGACACTTCATCCATGGACATTTTACAGCTAAAACCAAAGTTTCTGACAGACGGCGTCAGCTCGGTCTTAGAGGCCGGCGCCTGGAAGAGGACGGGGACGCAGCCTTCTGCAGGCTGCTGGCCTGTGAGGGGGGCGGGGGGCGGGGGAGGACGGTGAGCGCTTAGCGACCTGTCCTCCGCAAGGCAAGGTCGCGCCAGGTGCATGGGGCCACCGTGTCTGTGAGCTTGTGAGCACTGGTCCCAGATGCAGGACGTGAGAACGCAAGCCGGGGAAACCTTCTTATCTAGGGAAAAGGGACCAGAATATGTCCTTGCTTACATGAAAAAAGGAACCACAGGACTAGGGCTGTCCAGGGGAGCGGGGAGCCGGGGGCCAGGTGGTCCTCTTTAAAGGCCCTCCTTTTGGGTATGTTGGACTTTAGAACCAGGTAAACGTGTGCTGCAATGGTAGAGAATTCGATGGAAAACAATCCCTAAAAATGAGGGGTTTGGAGAAACTGCACCAGCTGCAGGCGGGGATCCCTGTATGGTCCCTGTCATCTGAGTCCCCACGCAGCCCAGGGGCTCCAGGGCTGGCCTCAAGGCACAGGTGACGGAGCTTTTGCAACACCCAGCCAGGGATTCCCACCCCTGCCAGCTGCCCTCCCCTCCCCTCCCCTCCCCTCCAAGCTCCAACAGGCACCCTAGCCCTTCACCAGGCTTTCCCGGGCCAGGGGCTCTGGGGGCTTTGGGGTGCCTGTGACTCACAACCTGCTGTCCCTCCCCACCGGGCCTCCCTCCTGTCCTTTCCCAGCACCCAAGAGGAGCAAGGCTTCCAGGCCTACGTGGGAGGGGGAGGGAGAGCAGGGTGGGGTGAGTGCACTCCCCTCAACGTGCCTGTTACAGAAGCTGCTCCGGGGCCCAGTTTGGCTAAAACCAAAACAAATGGTCCCACAAGTCCGGCGTCCTCCGAAAGATGACAGTCTGGAAGGTCCTTTCTGGCCAAATGGCAGACTGAGCCCTTGGGGAGGGGGCAGGCAAGGAGGGAGGGGGATTGAGGGCCGGGGGGTGTGGGGAGGAGGGTGCAGGGGGGGGCAGGGATTGGGGGTGGACCTGGGGGACGGAGAGGGAAGGGGATTGGGGCCAGGGTGGACGGGGGACTCTGCCCCAAAGCTAGGCTATTTCCAGGCATAAGTGTCATCTTGTAATTAAGACAAGATGAGGAGCAAACCGAACATGGTAGATAAGCTGTCAAATATCTACTCCGCACGTATTGGGCGCACCGGGTCAAGGGGGTTGGGTACAACACGCAACCCTACTGGGCGCACCGTGTCGAGGGGGTTGGGAATAACAGGCAACCCTACTGGGCGCACCGGGTCGAGGGGGTTGGGTACAACACGCAACCCTACTGGGCGCACCGTGTCGAGGGGGTTGGGAATAACAGGCAACCCTACTGGGCGCACCGGGTCGAGGGGGTTGGGTACAACACGCAACCCTACTGGGCGCACCGTGTCGAGGGGGTTGGGTATAACACGCAACCCTACTGGGCGCACCGTGTCGAGGGGGTTGGGAATAACATGCAAATAGCCTTCACGGGCACATTTGAACAGAATACATTATAAAAGCGGGCCGGTGCTGCCACCTGAGAGGCCTGCTCTCACGGTGTCACACCCACCTCTGCACGGAAGCCCTGAAGTGCATTGAAGAGGTTTGTCCCACCTGTGGAGGTAAGAGCTCAGTCCAGAGATGGGCCCGAGGCCCGGTCTGCACTTGCAAATACGCGGGTTTCTGGGCACCTTACTACCACTGGTGCTCAAGGACCTTCCCTGGGGGCCGAGTGCCAGCCCCCCCTCGCCCCCTCCCCACAGCACATCCTGGGTGGTGTCCCCTCAGACAGGTGACCAGGCCTCCGGTGGCCATGAGGGGGCCGCTCCGCACTGCCATCCCGCGTGACAGAGCCCCGTGGGGCAGATGGCCGCACACTGGAGGCGCCGGGCGCTGCCCCCCAGGCCGCGTGTGCGGGGCACGGCTGCCGTCTTTGTTCACGGCAGGGATGGCACTATTATTCAGATATCTCATTTAGTTTTGCCTTTCCAGTGAAAATTATTAAACAATTTTTTTTTATTATTAAGGTTTATTTATTTTTGAGAGAGAGAGAGACAGAGCGTGAGCGGGGGAGGGGCAGAGAGAGAGGGAGACACAGAATGCGAAGCAGGCTCCAGGCTCTGAGCGGTCAGCACAGAACCCGACGCGGGGCCCGAACCCGGACCGTGAGATCACGACCCGAGCCGAGGCCGGACGCTCAACCGACCGAGCCACCGATGTGCCCCGGAAGTTCTAAACACATCACACGACGCCATCCCAGGTCATCAGAAAAATGCTTTATTCAACGGCGTTACTTCATTCCACGCAGACGCGCGCACGAGCATGTTTACTGCCTAACGCACACACGCCAGAGCCGAGGGGGCCCGGAGGGCCAGGCCGGGGACGGGAGCTCGTTCACCTTCCGTGCGGGACTCCCTCGAGGCCAGCAGACCCTGCGGGAGCATGGATAGCCGTGACCCAAGGTGGACACGCCCGGGACCGCCACTCACGTCTCAGCCACTCACCAAAGCGCCACGGCACGACCATCAGGAACGCGCAACGCGTCGCGTCTGCTTCTGCCACACACGCGCGCGTGCGGGAGAAGCAGCTGCCCTCGGAGCAGGGCACACTTGCCTGCGTGCTGTCTCTGCAGCAGTGCGGAGATGCTGATGGGCTGCCTGGGGGCCGCTGCCTGGGAGCCCCCCAGGCTGGGCGAGCCCCCTCTTCCTGCTCGGCCTGGGGCCTGGGGCGCGGGCACCTGGGACAGCCCCTTGCCGGGGACAGGCAGCGGTGGGACCCTAGGAGTAAACCCGACAGACACAGAATCCTCAGTGACAGGGCCTCCCCGGCCCCCCCGCCCCCCTCCCCCCCACCCCACGGCATCGACCACGCCCCTCGGAGCTTTCCAGTTCTTCGGTTTTAAAAAGCAAAGCATGAAGCGGTCTACACGACATAACCCTGCTCGGAACACACGCAGAGGGGTTTAAGAAGCAGTACACAAAGGTCAGCGGCATGAACTACAGTGAGTCAGGTGGTGGACACCTGGGGCGGGGACACTACCTGAGGGCCTGGGGCAGCTCCCTGTGACTTGGCGTCGGGCCGAGGGGCTGAGGGCCGCGGCGGGCGACGCTGCCTGCGGTGGACAGGAGCAAAAGGTGAAGACAAACACAGAGGCCCGTACCTCTGCCCTCGGCCGCCCCCTGCCACGTCCCCGACCTCCCGCACCCACACCCTTCCCGACCGGGCGGCCGCACCCACAGGACTGGAACGGAACTCCTGGGATCCAGTGCTGTGGCCCCCGTGCCCGGCAGCTGCCCGGGGCACACCCGGACTGGACCGCCAGCCCCGCAGAGCTTCCGCCCGACACCGAGCTCTGGGCCGCAGGCTGGGCTGGGGAGGGCACCCGGGATGCAGACGGCTCAAGACATGTGCGGAGACCTGCTCTCTGTCCTACTCTGTCCCTGCTCCTGTCGCTCAGAACCACTGGCAGGGAAAGGCACTTTCACCAGCTTCTGGCTCTGAGTCCCTTAGCCCCAGCACCGGCTCTGGTCTCCGCCCACACCGCCAGGCTCCCGAATTTCTGCTGACATCCTCCGTGCTAATAAGAAGCTTCTTTGAAAGACGCAAACAGCCCCTGGCACGCATTAGTCACAGCAGAGAGCAAATCTGAAGACTACTACTGTTTAATACCCGAATTCCTTTGCATCCAAATCTTGGAGAATTTTAACAGAAGAATGGCAGGGAAGACAGCATTTAGGCTCCCCGTGTTTCCTTTCACATTGAAGAACCCGGATCAGAGAGGGGCAGCGCCTTTCCCAGGGCCGCACGGCACCCAGTGGCCAACAGGGACCTCGTGTCTCTGCCCACCGGCCATGCCGCAGCACAATGGCTGAGACCAGAGACGCAAAATGACTCGTTACTTATCTCCTGTGTTTTATGATGGTTTGACACCACGGGGCCTTGCTTATTCTGGGAAGACCACCCCTCCCAGGGCTAGCTGACTTCCAAAGAGTAACGATTCGTCTGTGAGCTGGCCTGTGACGTGAAATCTGAGTGCCCAGAGGTGCTCCCCATCCCCTCCCCGCTCTGCCCTACCCCCATCCCCAAAACTGCTGAAATGATCCCAAGTAGCCAATCCCAAGCCGTCCTCACTGCCCACCACTCCTTCCCGTGAAGACCGGCCACCCTGCTCCCTCTGCCCGAGGGCCCCTGTGGGGCGTGCCCGCCTCCGGCTGCCGGGGCTGTGAGGAAAACCTTGTCTCCTGGTGGGCTGGCCACACATCTCATCAGACAAGTCCCGGGACATTTTAACCCCGGCTCAACACAAACGGTAATGGCAGGTTACGTGCTCAACACGCTACAGCCCACGGAGAGGGAGTCTTAGTTACTCTTTGCGGGACTCGTGGCGATGACGGTTATCAACAGAGATGAGGGAACCGAGGCCCCTGGAGGTGAACTCACAGGGGTTTGGGGTTGACGCCCCGCACGCGGCAGGTGGGAACCTTGTGACACACGGGGTCCGAGCGGGAACCCCGGCCACGCGGGAACTCCAGAGCAGGGCACGACCGAGCACTCGGGCGCTGGGGCGTATCCCCTGCTTCGGCCTCGCTGGGACCGGGCGCTCAGACCGAGGCTCCCCAACCGACAAGACGGGCAGCAAGTCAAGGCCCGTAGCTCCTGTTCCAGAAAGCCATGCCGTTCAAAGAGGTTAGAAAGATTTCCATTGGCAAACGAGAAATTGGCCGTTTAGAGAGGACAAGCTCCCTCATCCAGAATATGGAAAACCTCATCGGCCTGTGGCGGCAGACGGACGAGACCGCGCTGTTTCCTGAACGAGGCACCAACGTGCCACCGAGGCAGGTGCTGGCGGGCGGTCGCTGAGGGGGAGGGGTCCCGGGCGGCGGGGAGCAGGGCGGCTGTGCCCGGGACAGGGGGGAGCTCCCCGCTCCGTCAAGCGCGCTCGTGGGGAAGGGGCCCAGGCCGCGCAGAAGCCGGGACCAGCCGGACACAGACGTGAACCCCGGCACGGCCAGCCCACGGGGGCAGCCGGCAGCCACACGTGGACCGGGCGGTGGCACAGCGAGATGGGGACAGCCAGGGGCGGGCGGTGCCGAGCCGGCTCCCGCACGAGAGACGAGATCGTCTTAAGACGACAAGGCCGGAGGGCTCCCCGCTCGAGGAGGAAACCAGGGCGGCCCAGGGCAGCATGAACCTCCATGGGCTGGAAGCGGTGGCCCACGGAGCCACGTCCAAGGAAGCGAGCCTCCGAGATGCACACGAAGCGAAGCCACTCAGACGTGGACAGAGACCGGGAGAACCCACCGCCAGCTGCCCTGCCCTACGACGACAGCGCGCTCCAGGCCGAAGGGAAAGGAGAGTGGCCGGTAACGAAGCCCCGGAGGTGGTCAAGTAAAGGGTGTGTACGTGTGCCTTTGTCTCAAGACCTTCAAGAAATGGGAGTTTGAAATCCTTCGCGTGCCGTGTTCCTGGGTAACACCATGGATGCCGTATGCGTCCCCACAGCACACGTGGTTATCCGGCAGCGAGACGGCACGCAGCGGGGGAGGGGTGTCGGGGGACAGTGTTGCTGAATCTCACCGCAGGTAAGTCAGCTTTCACGTCAAGTACGTTGCGACGGGTGCGCGGCCTAATTCCTAGGCAATCCCGGAAAATAACCACACGTTGCCGGAATATCAGCCGCAGAATCGAACGTGTGTCGATTCAGTGGGCTCGGCCACCCTGACACAGCACCCCAGGCCGGGGCCGGGCTTTACCAGCAGACACGGTCCTGGAGGCTGGCTGGCGTCCAGGAGGGCCCATCCCCGGTTCCCCGCTGGCACCTTCTCTGCGTGCCCTCACCGACCTCTGGGGCGGGGAGCCAGTGAGCTCCCCGGTGTCTCTTTTCTTTGTTGCTGTTTTACGGTTTTGTTGACATAAATACAACGTGCTTTTCCCCCCTTTTTCTGGTGTCTCTTCTTATAAAGACACCAACCATATCAGACTGGGGTCCCACCCAAGGACCTCATTTACCTCTTAGAGGCTCAGTCTCCAAATACAGTCATGTGGCAGGGGGTTAGGGCTTTAATGTGAATTTTGAGGGGAAACGATCCAGCCCATAGCAAAATCATACACTAAAAATATTTAATGCGAAAAAGGCAGTTAAGGAGATACAGACAACAAATCCCAAGACATACATAAAATAATAACAAAATGGCAGACACATATGCAAACATACTAATAACTGTGTTAACTATCAGCGGACCAAGCAGTCCAGTCAAGAGGCAGGGATTTTAAGAATGAAACCAGGCACGAAGGCAAACATCTCATACTGTCTGCAACAGGCACACTTTGCATTCAGACACAAACAGGCTGAACATTTTAAAATGGGAAAAGATACGCTATGCAAACCGTCACCAACTTAAATTAAATGAAGAAAATCCCACCATCAAACATAATTACTGAGGCAGGAACGTATCAGTAGAAATGAGACCTGTACGCTGAAAACCGCAAAAGATCCCTTGGGTAAATCAGAGATGCGAGAAGCGAGGAGACGTCACCAACAGATCCCGAGACTCAAAACTCTTAAGATATCAGTTCTCCCCCAAACTGATTTGCAGATGCGATGTAACTGCTATCAAAATCTTAGCAGGATTTTTTGGTAGAATTTGACAAATGGATCTTACGATTAATGTAAAAACGCAAAGGACCTAGAACAGCCAAGATTATTTGGGTAAATTAAGAACAAAGTCAGACGGCTCCCACTGATTCCAAAATTTACGGTAAAGCAAGAGTAAGAAGATGGTATTTTGGGGGCGCCTGGGTGGCTGAGTCGGTTGAGCATCCGACTCTGGCTCGGGTCATGATCTTGCGGTCCATGAGTTCGAGCCCCGCGTCGGGCTCCGTGCTGACAGCTGGGAGACTGGAGCCTGTTTCAGATCCTGTGTCTCCCTCTCTCTCTGCCCCTCCTCCGTTCACGGTCTGTCTCTCTCAAAAATAAACATTAAGGGGCGCCTGGGTGGCTCAGTCGGTTGAGCGTCCGACTTCGGCTCAGGTCACGATCTCATGGTCTGTGTGAGTCCGAGCCCCGCGTCAGGCTCTGGACTGATGGCTCAGAGCCTGGAGCCTGCTTCCGATTCTGTGTCTCCCTCTCTCTCTGCCCCTTCCCCGTTCATGCTCTGTCTCTCTCTGTCTCAAAAATAAATAAATGTTTAAAAAAAAAAACTTAAAAAAGATGGTATTTTTGAAATTTTTAAGTAATCTCTATATCCAACGTGGGGTCAAACTCATGACCGTGAGATCATGAGTCACATGCTCCACCAACTAAGCCAGCCAGGCGTCTCCAGGAACACAGTATTTTGATTAGTGGAAGAGAATACAAAGTGCAGAAGAATACTTTGACAGGACTGACCAATTAACTTCAATTTTGGACTTTTTATATGCAGAATTACAACTGACTTTTACGTATGGATCTTGTATCCTACAATCTTACCAACCTTGTTTATGATTCCTAGTATCCTTAAAGATCCCTCATGATTTTCTGCACACAAGGGCACACCGTCTACAATAAAGACACTCTACTCATTCTCACCCAATTGATGTGCCTTTCACTTCCTTCTCTGGCTTCCCTGCACCGGCTGGAGCCCTCAGTGGATGTCGGACAGGAGAGGGGCTGTGGACCAGAGGCATCTCACCATGTCCCTGGTCTCAGAGTACAGCATGATCCCTCTCAACAGTACCTGGTCAGCTCTGGGCTTTCTGCAGATGCCCTTTACCTGGCGAAGAGGTTGCCTTTTATTACATGTTTCTTGAGAGTTTCTACAGTGAATGATTGTAGAATTTTGTCAAATTATCTGTTGAAAAGCTCTAATGTTTTTTAGGTCCTTTACTTCTACTAGTATACTAATTAGTCGATCTTCAGATGTCAAATAACCTTGAATTCATAGGATAAATCCCACTTGGTGATGGCATACAATCCTTTTCCTAGGTTGCTAGATTTGATTGCCTCATGTTTTTGAAGAATTTTGTATCCATATTCATAAGGAATACTGCTCAATTATTTTTCTTGTGCTGTCATTGGCTTTAAGATATTGCTGACCTTATGAAAACTGGAAAGTGTTCAGTCCCCTCCTACTT